AACTTCACTGCTAGACGCCACTAAATCCCACACACTGGACCTTTAATGAGAGGACATTTGGCATAAAAACTGTAGTTACACAAGGAGCCTTTGGTCTTCTGATAAAAAAAACACAAAGCTCTCTTTCAAACAAACAGTTGAAAGATTCAACCAAGGACAAAACTCTGCATTATTAATGATAATTCTTTCTAAGGCCGATACTTAACGAGATAGTCTGAGTGCAGCCATCACGGATGTGCCCTTGAGCAAGGCCCTCAACAACTACACATCCTGTGGCTCTTCAGCACTTCGCTGGATCCTGCCCTCTACTGACAGCTTGTCACAGCAAGAGAGAACACCAGTCCAACTCCACCTACACCGCACCCATCTCACTCCCCCAGCACACACACGCACGCACGCACACACACACACAGACATCCTCCTTGAGTTGTAGATTGTATTCCAGATCACTTGTCAGTTGAGTTGTGTGCACGTTTAAACGATAAGAAGGAGAAGAACAAATCAAGAGCAAGATGACGGCAAATATAGACAGTTTACTTGGATAAGAGAGGAAGTGAGAAAGTGAGTGGGAGGTTTGTGTGTTTGTGCGTGCATGCGTGTGCACACATGCAAGAGAAGATGGGAGAGTGTGTTTTTCCAGCTCTTGAATCTTCTTAATAAAGAATGTTTTCACTTGTTGTCAGCAGACAAACAGGAATAGTTTTTTTGTTGTTGTGTTTCTCTGTATGAACAGGCAGATGTGTATTTAAGAGTGGTGCTGAAGTGTAACCCTGTTAATGTTTAGTCGAAGCCCACAGGTCTGATATATTGAATTAAGCTTTCTGGGCAAAAAGCCAGCTCAAAGCTCTGAGAAGCTGTACAGCATGTTGATATGATGGTATCTGACTTATGAGTCAGTATCTAAGTATATGGACACATGTGTTGGCTAATTAATAAAACAGTTACAAGGCTGTATGGCTGTTGGTAACATGAGCATTGAAATGGCCACTTTTCTGTACTGTTGGTAAAAGGATTTGCACAGATTTTCGTCCTAATAGCCAAGACATGGGTCTTGGCTATTCTCTTGACGAACTCTAGGTGGCTTTATGATAGGATTTGATGCTTGGTCAAGTCTAAACTTTATTTCTACCTACAATGTTATTCATTCTTCTGCAGCATCATGTTGTGCTGCTAAGTTATGAATCTAATGTTTTAATGCCATGTTCTGTGGATTTACTGAATTTCGCTCTAAAACTGTGGATGCGTTTCTTAACAGACGTTCCTTTTAGTTTACATGAGAAGCAACCTACCCAACAGAAGCAGTTTCACTTCTCTGGCAGCCTTCTCTCCGTCCTCTCGGAGGTTTTTGTCAATCATCTTTGACCTCTCCGCGGCCGCCTTATCCTCGGCGCTCACCGTACAACCCATGGCTCCAAACGCAGGGGCGCACCGACCGCTTGCGCAAAAAACAGAGGGCTTCAGTGCTGATGGTCTCAGCGTGCCAGCCGATGCCGAGAATAAGGACGGGGCAACTCCTGTGTCCAGCACTGGCGTCTAGAGAGCAAAATAGCCGATTGCAGAGTTTTTACCCACGCGTAAAAAGTCAATGTCCCCCGCTCTCCTTGTCAACTAGGAGCTCAGAGATGAAGCAGATGAACTCCTACAGCATTTGGTTTAATAATGTCAGGCTGTTACCGCTGGTCCATGTCGAGAGCGCTCACTGTCCTCTGTCCTGCGTCCATCCACAGGCTGCAGACTCTCAGTGTCTCTCGTGTTGTCGGCCTGCTGAGCAGCGCGTCCGTCGGTCCTGCTGCGGTCTCCGTCGGTGCCCAATTAGTCTCGTCGGATATCCTCAGATATTCCTACGACAACTGGGGAAAGTGGGCATCGACGTCACTCAGACGACTTGTCGCGATAGTCCAATTAAAACAGGTGAGCTCTCCGCCGGAGCCTGCGTGGAACCAATTAGAGTGGGAGCCAGCGAGGCGTGATTTGAGGAGTGCGGTGTGCAGACTGCAGTGGGCGCTGTGCCAGCATCATTCCTCTGCATTTCTCATGGATGCAGCCCCTCAGACGTCAAACACACACGTTAGCAGCCCGAGCTGGTCTCAGTGACTCAGCTATGCAGCAGCAGGGTTGTCTTTGCAAAGATGCGGGACGGGATGTTAAAATGGCAAATGGGTGTTTGTGTCACATGTTTATGAAATACCTTGGCACATAATCAGGCTGAGAGAAGAGTTGGTTGACAGCGCCCCCAAATGGACAAGAGTAGATATTTTCTCTGGTAGCTGACAGTTAACTGGGCTAAAGGCTCTAGAAAGGCATAATAAATAATACTTCTGTAGCATCTTTCATAAAGAAATGCAGCTCACAATGCTTTACAAAACAAAAAGATAAACAACTGTTAGAATTTTAAATGCTATATAAAATAAATGTATAGTATTATTATTACTATTACTATTACTATTATTGTTATTATTATTGTCATTATTATTGTGATTGTTGTTATTTTATTATTGAAATGCAAGTTCATTTAGTTTATGCTTTAATACTGAGCTACACTGGTTCACAGTGGCCTTAAAGTAAGGTTATATTCTTAGTTGAAACTTAAAAGACACCAATATATGCTGATAAGATTTAAGATCTATTGAGTGAATGTGTTAAATTCAAAATACTTTGGTGCTAATTCACCTCCACCTCTCACCGTTGCTGTGGTGTTCTTCCTCAGACAGAACAGACAGAGCATTCTGTTACATCCGTTGCTTAAATGTAGTGCCTGAGGTGTCAAAAACACAGAAGCCAATGTGTCTTCTCTGCTATTTTGACAATAAGCAAATCTAAATGAGTTAGTGTTGACGTATTACAGTAAAAACGTGCAGTATGTTGACATAACAAGGTCAGCAGTGAGAGATCATGGCGACCTAAAGTTTGGGTTTAGTGTTTTTTTGTAAACACAGCTTAGCCTTGACAAGAGCACTGAGCAGGAATAGATAACTCTTCTTCTAAACCATGCACAAAAAAGTGTGTTTGGGGATGAAGGATGAAGGTGTGTAAATATTACACTTATAAAATCCATTAAATTGCCGACAAATTAATAGCATCAAGAATTTGCTTTAGTTAAAGGGAAATGACAACAGAGACAATGTAAAAACATCTACAATTATTTTATTGCCAAACTAAAACTGTCCCTGCTATTTACACTTTACAAGCTACTGTAAATATGCATCACAAATATAAAAGGTTTACATTTATATACATTATTTATATAAAGCCACTTCTTATTCACCAAAATTCATATTCATATACCACATTATTTTATAGTCGTGTCATTTCCATAGATTTGTGTCTTGAACAACAGCTATAATAAAATATCACATAGATTTGTTTAGGAAGATGGAAAATGCATATTTGATATACTGCGTCTGGTATTAAAACTGTGGTACCTGTTTAAAAGCCGAAGGCATTTTAAAGCAGTAGGTAGTCAGTTGTTATTTTGGCATGATCCCTTAAAGTGTCACTAAATATGGCAAATTAAACCTTCATTTACACCTAAACGACCACTGTGAGTGTGATTACATGTGGAAAAACAAGGGGCTGAGGTTGATACATGCACTTAATATTTCCTCTGCTGTTCATAATTTATTTGTAAAATCAGGAACCAAAACTTCTAAACAAAGACAAAATAGAGTAATATAAATAAAATGAGAGAAGTGATCATTTACGCAGGACTTTTCTGAAGCCTGAGAGTTGTGATACAATATAAAACCATCTTTGGATAAGAGCAGCATGTATTGGTTATAACAGTTGTTTTTTAACTTTGTGATCTATGTTTCTAGATAATGAAATGCTCCTGTAATCTATAAAAAAATGAACTTGTGCAGGTTGTCAGTGCTATTGTAGGACGCACCTACTCAAGAACAACTGAAAGTATTCATCCACATCCTTAAATTAAGCTCAAAATTAATGTGTCATCACTGACGGAACATTACTACAGTAATGTTTGAAACATTATTTCATGTACCATCTTTTAAGAAGGGCTTCATAATACTAATATAACACAATAATAACTATAGCACAGAATGGGACTTCAATGCACTTCACTATAAGATGACAAAATACACAGTATTACAATAACATCTATGTATGACAGTGTAGCTAAAGTCTCTGTTATTGTGCAGTTCACTATACCGACTACAGGACAGACTGGACAGAACAGCATGCAAAACATTAACCTCAAGTCTAAATAGTCAACAAGGGTGAAAGCAAATTAAAATACTTCAAACCAGTACAGCAAAGACGTTATGACAGAATCAAAAAAGCATAATACATCTTCAAATTAATCAATATTAACTTGTTAAACTCTGCCAGACCCACCAGCGGGTTCATCTTTACAAATTCATGTTGCTTGGCCAGGCATTGTTTGAACCCAAATTATCAAAAAACAAACAGTTGACCTCATCTTTAGTGGTGTCGAGTCAATATAGTTTATGTTTTTTTTTAATTTATACAAACAATCTACATGGCTAGATAAGATTCTCACTTACAGAGGAAAGCAGAGTCTGCTGGTTTTAAAACTATGGGTTTAATGAATGAGATACAAAGTGAGCTATAGAGGTGCTGTTTCCCCCAGCTTCCAGTCTGACGCTAAGCTAAACTAACTTCCTGGCTGTAGTTGTGTGGTATCAATCTTCTCATCTAACACTCTACAAGAAAGAGAATTAGGGTATTTCCCAGTTCAAAATGTCACTCTATTCCTTTCACTAAAGTTCTCCAGAGCAGCCTTGCAAAATATGGCATTTTGGGTTTAAATTTTCACTCAGTGTGGGCGTCATAAAACTTCAATGAAGTGTTAAAACATATAGAGAAAGAGTTTTTGATAAAGTGTGGAAAAAGTAATTTCTCAATTTAAAAAAACTGAATGAGACATTTGAAGGGAATATCAAGAATTTAAGAGATTAATGAGCTAGACTCAAAGGTGAACTGCCGGGGTAAAGTTGAGCTGTACTTGGTTTATATTTAAGGTCACAGTTTGGCATATATGTGCTAAAAGTTTTACAAAGGGAAGTATCAAGTCCTAAAATCAAGCATTGTATTTTATCATGCATTTGAAATATTGTCAGTCATAACACCTAACTTCTAGCTAAAACAAAAACTGATATTATACATAACGTATTTGGATCATTAATTTCATCATATACAGTAGTTAAATATAGTCTGTTTCAAATTAAAAACAGATAAAGTAGCTAAATAAATATACACTCTTGTTTTTACTGTATCCAAATGCTAAAAGGCACCAAGTTTTCTGAAGAAAGCTAGCTGAAAGCTCAGACTGTATGATACACAACATAAGCATACAGCTCATGCTGCAGGTTCAGGATGAGATCATCTGACTGTCCTCGTTTGTGCGTCTCATGGAAAATGATTAAAATTTGTGTAAAAATAACTTATGAGTTATCTAATCATTTCTCATTTATATCTTCTTGCCTTCCTGTCTTCAGTCGACCACCATGCCTTCCTTTTTCTGTACAGTACCGGCTGCAGTTGTTTGTGTGTACTGTAAATAAAGAGGAAGCAACAAGAAAAGGACAATTTCACCGTCATGGATGGACATGGATGTCGCACCAATGGGTGGTAATGAAAAAAAAGACCCTGTTCAGTACTGATTATTCAAAAATTGCATTACATGTTAAATTGAATTATAGAACGTATAAAAAGGATTTTGTTCAGATATGTGTTAAGTTGGAGTTAAAAAGTTATTGAACTTGATCAATATTAACCAATACCAATCCCAACCAATATACTATACTGTATATTTTGTAATGTTACAAAGCCCAGGTTCTGTGCTGGGCAGCCCTGTAGTGTGTTCCCACTGATAGTGATAGTGTTCCCCTCACATTGACCAGTTCTTTTTCCCCCTTTCCAAAGCTCACACACACTGAATCAGCATCTAGTGGCCTCCTGCAGCATGGCCACTGCCTGTTGTCCAGTCGATGAATATGAAGCTCAGACTCATCACCATGAAGGAGACGCCCAAAGCAGCAAAACAGGCAGCCTAAGAATGAGGTGGGAAATCACAGCAGAGGTAAAGACGCTTAATTATCAAGATGTACCATATCAAAAGCATTTATCACACAGCACAATCACCAAACTAGGCAGTGAAAGATTGAAGGGAGACAAATTTCAAGGGCTCACCAGTATCTTAGGAGTAGAGTTCATGGGTTCATCCTCTTTGGGAACGATGCGGATGTAAAAGACAGCAGGGAAGATGAAAATGAGGCAGGGAGCTGACGTGGCACCTGTTAGGAGAAAGAGAAAGAGCTGGTTACAAACAAAGTGTACTGCAATATACAGAAAGTTTCACTGAACGCAGTGACATATATTTTATATCTATTTTCTCTGATAAAATACACAGAAATAATATTTATTAGCGTCGTCATGCATCATTTACTGTGTTTGACCTGCTACAGAAACTGTACAGCAGTACAGATCTTTGGGATTGAAATGATGAGGTCATAATCTTACAATTTCAAAGAGATATTTACGAGACTGTGTCCTAAAACAGTGTTTACGCTTAATGGGCAATCAGACAGACAAGTATAATTGTACGTTAGTTTTTCCTGTAAAGGATACAGTACAGTTAATTGAACCACTGTGAAAAAAAGATTCAACACTAAGACCATCAAAGAGATAATCTTGCAATCGTGCCAAGTTTTGCTGAAATAATAATCGATACTAAACTACTTTATGCTTGATGGATCATTTGATTCTTCGTTTATTTATTAATTTCCTTATTATTTTCTTTATGTGCCCGTTAGAGCATTGTAGTATTGCAAGTGTTACTGTCTAGTTATTTACGCCAATATGAAAACAGATAAATTGCTGGATTGTGAGCCCTTCAAATATACAAAGGTTGTTGCACACAGCTCCATATATATTTTGTCATCTGATTTTTTTCTTCTGTTTCTGCACGTGTTATTCAAGTGAGCTCTGTACGTACTCTGTACTTAAATGCATGCACGTTTGTCAAAGCAGAATCTGTTGCTTTGAAGATGGCCTTGGCAGTCCTTTAACTTAAATGTTTTCAACTTTCATCTCTAACCTGGGAAACATGACCGCCAATCTGAGGACAGAGCACGACAATAATATTGACTCAGTTCACTGAGTCACTTTGTCCCGTGAGCAAACATGCACTGATCACGTTTTTTTGGTTTTGCTTTTACTGTTTTTTTCTGTCAAGAACTAGAAACAGATAAAACACAACAGAGATTGCCATGTCAAACGGGAGACTTCAGCCTGTAAACAGAGACAGAATAAGTAACTTATAATTACATCATATGTAGGATATAAACTGTACTCAAATTAATCCTAACATTCTCATGTTATTTATTTAGTTTCTTGGGCAGCCCACCTTAAAAATCTTTAAAGAAATGTTAACATTAAGAGGAGGAGGAGGAACTAATGACCGGGCGGGTGCTTTACTAACCAATGATGCCGAAGATGCCCAGAATGTTAGGAGCAAATATCACCAGCATGTTGATGAAGGTGAGCAGAATGACAGCGATGGCAATGTGACGCAACCAGTTGAATGACTTGGTGGGGAACAACATCTGCTGGATAGCACGACGTACCTGTGGACGGACAGACAAAGGATTCAATTAGGGAATAATACCATATCATATATAGGATCGTATACACCGAAGGAACAAATCAACAACAAACTTACAGGGAACAACACAATGGGAACGGTCAGTGTTACAGCTGTGAGGACAGCCACTCGCACACACAGTATCAGAGTGTCGTAAGGGTCAATCCGGCTGTAAGTGTGCAGCAGTTCAGGCTCCACATTGCCTATAGAAATATAAAGGAAAAATACTGTATTAATATATTTTTCCTCATGTGAACATCCCTCAATAACTGTGTCTTCTACCACTGAACAGCATATTGTCACCACCAGAGGGCGCTGGGCTTTACGTGTAGGAAGAGAAGCAAATACTGTACCAGGTTTCTGTATTTCTTCAGTACACTCAAATACTAACACTTACTACATTAATACGAATACATCAATACTGAGTATGATTTTATACCTAACAACACAAATGAATTAAAACCATAGATTGTTTTAGTTATTGTTACTCTGCATTAAGTGACAGATGAAGGATGAAGGGTGACAGAAAGAGAAAGAGAGAGAGAGAAGAGCCAGAAGAGAGAGACGACGAGAGAGAAGAGCGAGAGAGAGGGACGACGAGATGAAAGAGGGAATAGACACGCTGGCCACGTGGGTGCGTGTTATCTGAGCTATCTGGGGGGGCCCACAGCACATCCCAGCTTTTCTTAAATACCTGACTATTCTTTTGGTAAACTAAGCCAACAGCAGCAACTACACTCGCTTTTACATGTGATGGATCTTCTTTTTTGATGGGTCTACAACTCACCCGGGAGGAAATAACTAGTCAAGGTGGCATCTGATTTCTCATGCATAAATACTTGTGTATGTTGCCACTAGATACTGCTCCCCGACCACAGGCCCAGCCTGGCGGAGCCTCCGATGCGGGCTCTCCCCTTGTCGGCTCGCCGTAGCCGGCCCGGCGCCGCGAGGCGGGGTGGCCGTAATCGCGCCCGCGGCCGTGCGGCGCGACCGCCGCTCCCACAGCAGGCGTGCCTCCCGGCCACCGTTCTCGCGGTCCCGCCCGGCCAGCGCAGCCGGCACTGGTGCGCGGTTACCCCCCAGCAGCGGCGGGGCTCCCACGAAAAATCCACGCGGCTCGCCGAGGCCCCGCGGCAACGGGACGGCCGCGCCCAGCACATGGCCCGCCTTTGTCTAAGCTCGCCCATTCTCGGCCTCCCATCGGTTCACACCCCGACGTCGGCCGCCTCCCCACATCAAGTACTAACTGCTCCCGATCTGCTACCCCTCGCGAGACCAAAACAGTGCAGGGACAACTCGAATCTCACCCTTTCTAAAAGCGTCAGGCTAGCCAAAGCAGAGTCCTTGCAGAAGAAGTATCATGGTGTACTGACTAAGATGGAGATGGTTGGACACCTGCTGCATCCTCTTCCTTCCTGGTCTGGACTAAAACCCCGCCGCAAGTTGAAAGTTGTGTAAATGCCACATTCTGCACTGACATGTTATCAAATAGCGCAGATTATAGAAGGGTGACTCACTTGCGGAGCTCAGTGTAGATGGGGAGAACCTCTGGGTGGCAGACAAAGGCGAAAGCCAAGATGGGAATGGTGTATGCCGTCTGTGAGGAACACATAAAATAAGTGTGGGAACTCAAGTAGCAAGTATAACTGCAGTCTTCATTGTTCGTGGCCTCGAAAATGATCCAGATAAGCTGACTATGCTTCACCTCGGCTGCCTACCTGTGAGTTGATGGTGAACATGCGCGTAAAGCAGTAGGAGTCATCGTCCTCGTTATCCAGACCATTGATGTACTCGTGGCTGTGGGTTGAGACATTCATGCTGAGGTGAGCAGCAGTGGTGTTGGCTGAGAACTCCTCAAATGGGCAGGGAATCTGAAACTTCTTATAGATAACCTGCAGAGAGATGCGAAAGAAGAACAAAAGGCAGGGGTATAATAAAAAAAAAGATGTAAGGATGAGAGGATGTGTCAGAGTCGGTAAACAAAGGCTCTCAATATTCCCTGCCGAGATTAAAAAAAAGCCATTTCACGTCAGATTACTGTGACTCAGCCTCTAAGTACTACGGTTTTACTCTCAACCTTTGATGTGTCTAAGCAGCTCTTATATTCGCCTTATCAAACGTAGCCACATACCACTGAAAATAGAGACGAGGGTGGGAAAAAGACGAAGGTGGGAAAGTGAGTAACATGTGTGCCAAGATGACATGCCAACAAATGAGGCTTCTTGTGAGCATTCACTGTAATGGTGTGCCACTATGTGAGCTGGAGCAACTTACAGCACTGAGAAAAAACACCATGCAGCTGAGAGAAAATCCACTGGTATAGCCGAGGTAACCTGAAAAAAAAGCGAGAGAGACTGTTAATGTCACAGCTCCATAAACTGAACTGATCCATTTGGCCCTCATGTGTTGTTTGGGACTACTAAGAGCTGTACTAGTTACACAAGAAGTCCACAAAGTTTACAGTCAGAAGGTTTCCTACTGTTCTATAAATGAGGCTTCTGCAAAAAATCAGAATGACCTCACAGCACTATGAGACCAGAAAGAGCATGTTTATTTGCAGTAATTAAAAGTTTAGACTGGAATAAGGGGTTTGATCGTCTCTGGGAAAATTATGTCTAATTGGGCACCTGCAGTTTTCACTGCCAGTGGTGGGATAAAGGCACACACTAATTGCTTGACTTTAAGGTAACTCCATCAAAATGTCATTATTTAAGTTGGATCAAAGTAAAACAACAACATAACCTTAATTAATAGTAATAAGTCTTAAAGACAATACATGTTTGTAAAAAATAAAAAATAAACAATCGTACTAAGTGTTAGGTAAGCATATTGGAGTTATGTGTAAATTGCTCTTAAATTTTAGCGGAAAAGAGCAAAATGACTTCAAATTAATTAACTAAAAGGATCTGAAAGTTGTCACAGGCTTCACAACAAAGCTTAAGAAAAAAAAAGACAACGTTCCAGAGAGGCAGAGTGCAAGTACATAATTGACAGAAGGCAGGAACGACGGCCCAGGAACAACTTATTTCCACCAGAAAAAAAATGTCAAAATTATGAGCTTAGAAGACTTTATATCTTGTATTTTCATTTATTTATTTATCATTTATTTTGTTTTCTTTTTTTCACTTTTATTTATTTTATTTTGTTTTATCTTTTATTTTTAAATTTCTTGACAGACATGGGCTTAGATAGACACTAGGCCACATTGGTCAAAATGCAGGTGACAATACTGAGTTCCTGGAAAAGTTCCTGTGGCAACCAAACCCAAAAATGTGTCCCCTGCTTGCAGCATGAACACATGACGAAAGTGTAAAAGTTAAAGTCAGATACACAAATGATTTGCTTCATTCATACACATATAGTTCTACAAAACAGACCGACCTGTGTTAGCTCTACTCACCGAGCTGTTTCATTAAAGCCAGGGGCAGGATGATACTGGCAGAGACCATGATGACCAGGTAGTTTCCATTCAAGTACCACAGACTGTTTGGAGAAAAATCTAGTTTACTTTGGTGAGCTCAATATTTCAAACATTGGCACAGAGACACGGCACACAGAGACAGAGACAAAAATAGAGTGGAAAGCGTTTGATGATAAGAAATTGGTTACATTAAGTGAAACTGTTGGTGCTCCTTTTTCTAAAATCACATATTCTGAGAGCCCTTGTTTGAATGACATAAGATTGTTAGAAATATACTGGTCCAAATGGTTCATGTGCTGCATTTTGCCAGACCAACAGCAACCTGCTGGGAACATCGTTGGCCTCAAGATGGTGGAAAAAACGTGTCTGCTTAAGTTGCTCTCCACAGAAGCACTGGAATAGACAGTTACATAACTATCATGATTTATGTGATGGTTCACAGTTGCAGAAAAGGAAGACATAGGGGAGCCTAAACAACACAGCACTGAAAGAGTCAGTAAATCCTACCAGTGCCAGCTTGTTCCATCACATCTCTGTCCCTCGCTTCTCTTCTTACCAACCCCCAAATATCACTAACCCCATACCATAACACCCAAACATAGTCTCCATCTTAAAGGCATTACTTAAACAGTTTTGGAGATCAAAGCTAAAAAAAAAACGTGATAGAATGACATTTCCAATCTTAGCCCTGCTTCCCCTTC